AGCAGGTCGGAGCCCGCCGGGGGGGCCTTCAGTGGTGGGGGGGGGGGGGGGGGGGGGGGACTTGATATCAATATATGCCACACTTCAAATTGTAGTGCCAAACATTTTTAAAGCAGTCTACATTTACGCTTCCACTTTGCAATTATGTTTCATTTGGTGTTGGTTTGTCACCTAAAATTTCCAAATACTGTAATTTGAAGTTAAGGCGTAGTTCAGTGGGTATAAATACTTTTGGAGGCACATATTATGTTCTCTCATTAATCCAAGCGCTTAATAAACTTTATAAATCCCATATTTCAGGTGTCAAAACTTTGACATTTCTATTTCCGACTCCATTCTATCTGTCTTAGTCGCTGTCCTCACCTTGCCTTACAGTTGTTTATTTCTTTGTGTTTGTGTCCTGGCTGCTGCTAAAAAATCCCACCGATAAAAATAGTCTCTAATCTGCCCTAGAATTCACCCTGGCTGTTAAAATATCACCTCCACTGAAGTCATGCCAAGGAGAAATGTTTTCAGGGATACACAGTTTGCTGAATGTTGTTTACACCCAGACATGAAATTACCTGTCAGTATAGGTTGAAAAGGGAGCTGAGCAGTACTATTCTAATCACACTGGTCGATGTGTCAAGGAACACCTGTCTAGCTGTTTTTTATTCCTCTCGTCTGGCTGGTTTCTGAACGGCTGCCAACATGTTCCTTTGGCTGTGCTAGCATTATCATAATACTAGCTGAACACTATAGAAATAAACATGGCTATAAATGCATCTATTGTCCTCTTGTTCAACTGGAGTCTGAAGGAATCTTTGACCCTTAAAACAATAAGCTGGGAAAGTTGTAATAATAAATAAAACGTCTTTTTAAAACGGGAGATTTAAAACAAAGACTTTAAAAAGAAAAGAAAAATCTGCAATATTCATGTTAAGACGAGGAACTGGGTCAGTGAAAAAAAACGAAAGCTTGCTTGGATTACCAGCAAATCTAAGTAAAAAAATGCTACATACTACAAAAAAATGATAATACATAATGCAACATAGTATGTTATCCTTGTAAAACATAAATGGCACTGATGTAAGAAAAGGTAACAGTGTACTGGCCCAGCCAAGCTGGCTTCTTGTAACTTTAAAATTTTACCACATCTATTGTTTGACAAAGAGTTTTAGAAACTTGTTACCTTGAAAAAACAAAACAAAAAAAAAACAATTTAATTTCTGGTTTGTTGACATTTATTCAAGTTTTTAGTGGTACTGCAGTCAGCTCCAGCATCCTGATTTCAAGAGATGCAGATTTCCATACAAAGAGGATTTGACCTAATTAAACTCATTTATTCTGAATAAATGTACGAAAATGTAAATATTCCTTCAAACAGAAAAAGTACATTTTTTATAAAAAAAAAAAACAAAAAAAACAAAGTGAGCATAACTCACCAACACAGAGTGGAAGTGGGCTGTCCCAGGCCCTCCTCTCCCCCCTGAGGCAGGTGAGGATCTCCGGGCCTTTCAGGGTGTAGCCCGGGTCGCAGCTGTACGACACGGTGCTCCCTGCAAAATGACCTTTGTCCTCCCGCTTGTAGCCAAACTGAGGAACACCTGGATCCTCACATTTAACCAGCTCAAAACCTTAAATGAACAAAAAAAAAAAAAGAAGACAGGACAAGAATGAACAAACCAATGTTCAAGTCCCGCCACAGATTCTCAATTAGGCTTTTTTAACCACAAAGAACCTAAAATCTAAACGATTTCCTTAATCCTGCATCAGCATGTTTCACTGTCAAAATGATGTGCTATGCAGTGTTGGTTATAACTCTATTGGGCTACTCCATGGGTCAACAACCTGATGCTCCAGAGCCAAAAATTTACAATCATTTTAAATGTAATTAATAATTACATATGCAGATTTCCACGGGGATAAATTCATTTAATTTACACAACAGAATTGAACTAAAAGTACCAGTAATACATTTTTAGATGCATTTATCATCTGTTTTATCTTTAAATGATATTAACAAATATACCCATACACATTCAAAAGTTTTGCTCTACTTAAAATATGAAAGTAGAAGTCAAATTTTAGTACTTCAAAACTGACAAATTTACCATTTCAAAAGTTGTACGTAGTACTTTTTTGAAAGGTCATGTGACATTTGCGGCTCTAAATAGGTTTACTTAGCTGGACTGAGAGCAAAACTTGCTTTTTGGAATGTAATGGTCGTTGAGCCTTTATCGGTCTATCCAACAAACTCACAGCAAAATACAAGCGTTAGTGGTTTCAAAAAAAAAAAAAAAAAAAAAACGTGAAAAGGTTTAGGTACAAACACATTTGTACTTTTGTAAAGTAGTGTTTGTGGAAAAATGAGTAAAGGGGAAAAAAAAAAAAATCCAAATCTTTGTTTCAGGCAGATTGTTCCTTACTAGTGAAGTGCAGTTCAAAGCCTTTACTGGTGTTGTCAGCATTGCTGATGAACTCCAGCCACATGGAGCTGGAGGTGGAGTTCAAGGTTACGTCTAGAAGCTCGTTTCCCGTAAACATCCCCAGGAGACGAGCCTTATTACTGCTGCCATCAAAAACCTAGAGGAAAGGGAAAAAAACAACAAAAAAACCAGCATATGAGTAGGAGGAAGCATCAGGTGTGCAAACTCAGATATGCAAACAAGGCTGTGTCTGAAGTTGTGGAAGATGCTACTCCCACCACCCCCTCACTTTGAGAACGTCGTCGTCCTCCAGCCGAAAGTCCCGTGCTCTCAGCTGAACGCCTTTGCCAGGCTGCGTCTGGATAGAGTAGATGCATTCGTGGTTGTTGCCGTAGTAACCAGGGTAGTTGGGAGAGAGGAGCACCCCTTGCATGCCAGTCACGGATGAGCCGCATTCAGCTAGAAAAAAGGAGAGGGAGCAGAGATCCAGGCAGAGACGGAGGGGAAGTGGCGTTGGAGAGAGCAGAGGACATGTCAATCGCTATATGCTTGAAACTCTTGGGGTGTTTTATTCACGTTGTCATGCACGGGGGTGGGGGAGGGGGGGAGTTGACGGTGAGAGGAATATGGTCACTGAGTGTACCTGAATGTTGAGTGGCGCATCATCATAATCACCCTGCAATCTGAATATGATTAACTGTAATTTCAGCTCTATCTGAAAATTGCTATTCATGGCTCACATCGGGGGAAGAGTCAAAAAAAGGACAACATTTTCTATAGCAAAATTGCTGCAGGAATTGAAAAGGCCCACAACTGCACCCCGGCTTTAAACTCAGGGAATTCAGCAAGGTATAATAAGGTAAAAGGATTAGACGGCATTGTTAGGAAAGTGGGAAGTTTCGAAAATAGGGCAGACAGTGACAGAAGTATGAAAATATCAAAATGTCTATTTCCTGTCAGTCTTCAGAGACTTGGATTCATCTAGAGGCAAAAGAAAGACCCAGCAAGAAACCTAAAAACTAGACAACAGCACAAAAGGAAGCTAGGAACATGAGGTTTTGTCTACAAGGTAAAATATAAAAATTAGTAAACTAAGTGGGTAAATAACCTGCAATTAAGAGAAAGTACAGATGCCCCAATAAAGCCATTTATAGCGTCCTCATGTTGATTATAAGCAATGAGAGAAGTTCAGTAACTACAGGGAAGGACAAACACAAGGAGGTCAACGGTGGCCATGATGTGCGATTCAATGCTAATTATGGTCATTGGGAACAAATTCAATTTCATTTTAACAAATAAACGTAGCGGTAAATGTTTGTTGTGTCATAAAGACAAACAAACTGACCTATACTCGGCCTGTCATTTTCCCATGTGTTAAAAAAAAAAAAACACAAACCACATCAATAATTAACACATTTCAGCTTTTTGATGCCATCCCCCATTAAAACTGCTGCCCTATATAATTTGGACAAAGTCACACAGGCTGTGTCTGGGAGGCCGTCCAAACGCAGCGACAAAACGTGGGCGTAGAGAGTGCTGTAAATGAGGAGGATGCTAAAAGAAAATGCCTCATTTCCTGACATAATTGATAATTTGGTAAATTTCCTAATTTGCAGGACGACATGAGAGAGCTAGCTTGCTGGGATGACAAGAGGGACCGGGAGTTGTGATGAAAGCAAAAAAATAAATAAATAAATAAAGCATGTGACCACCTACCAACACACCTTGGCAGAGGGGAGCTCCACACCCGCCTTCTGCCCCCTAAGCACACCACCCTCGCCGGACCCTCTAACCGGTAACCGGGGAAACAGGAAAAGATGAGGGCATCGCCGACTCCGTACTGGAGACCTTTTCTGGTGCTGTATGGAGGGATTCCAGGATCCTCACAGGGCTCCAAATCATACTCTGAAAGAGAGACGCAGATGTACCGTCAGCAAATTTTACTGCAAGACTATAAAGGAGATGACACTCATGCAGTGCTGTTTATCATCTTTATTCTCATGTTTTACTAACATTTTTTTCCCCTTCAAAAGTACTGTATTCTGTATAGCTGCAGCAGAACTTTTCAGCCTTCTGAGAAACACAAGACAGACGTCAGGAAAACTTGTCAACAATAAGCCGCATGGAAGCAACTTGGGAAGAAGGCCAGATCATTAAAGATCTGTAAATATCATTTTGAGCCAAGTTCTTATCAAAACCACATAATCAGGGTTCCGACATGGCTTTTAAGTCACAACCTGCTTAAATGCTACTAAATGATCTCTTCTAAAGCCCATCCCTACAAGGCTGCCACCACCAACCACCATTATCAGTCAACACTAAAGAAGACAGCAGAGAGACAGAAGTTGTTTGGATATGCTGGAATAGTCTTGAGTTCAGAGGGAATCCGGTGCACCTAAACTGACAAATCATTTAACTATTTATTGTAATGTCAGCGAAGTATTATATTTACTCAATTTATAAGAAACAAATATGAAAATAAATCAAGTAGATGTAAATATTTAAAGTGGAACATGTGAAAACTACAGTGTTCCTGATTGTCGTCGTCATTGTTTCTAGTTATCTCAGATTTGCAAATACCTGCGCAATTCCAACGTCACTTGAATGCCTCAAAATGTACGACAGATTATCAACAGTCACTTGTTTATCGCTGTCTTGAAATAATGCTGCCTTCTTAGCTTGATTTGATGTTATCAATCTAAATACTGACAGAAGTTGCTAATTTTTCTTCAGTGCTCTTTTCTCAACATTGGAAATATTGAAATTGTGCCAAAGAAATCCACACTTCTTTGTTTCTTTTTTGTTTTTTTGGGGGGGGTTTGTTCTTCAGGATGTGGTGCAAAATACATTGCTGGGTAATATCCTGCATATTCTTTGGCTGAAAAAGATTCAACCACAGTAAGACACTCTATATTCTTCCCAAGCTTATCTGCTAACATTAAATAAGTTGTCTTGGTATTAAGCAACATTCTAGTTCAAGTTCTTTAATCTTCCTTCTCAGTGTGACTCCCTACTACATAATAAGCGTGGCTCAGCACATAGTGTCCCAGTTTTCCACTGCTGGTGTGGTTAAGAGATAAAATTTACATTATTCTCACCTGAGAACGTGATGTTAAATCCCTCGTACGAAACAGAGAAGTCGGAGAGGAAGCGGATCTGCGCGGTGTAGTTCCCGAACAGGCCCGCGCTTAAAGGAGGGGGCAAGGTGGAGCCGGTCAGTCTCCAGAGGGGCTGAGAGAAACTGCCGTTCTCGGTCACCAGCAAATGGTCATGGGGACTCTCGAGGTGGAAGGTGTGGAAGGTGAACTGTACGCCTGATTTAAAGAAGAAGAAGAAGAAGAAGAAAAAAAAAAACATTAGATAAACATGTTTTCTTCGTTTTCTCTGGGTTAAAGAAAAGTAAATGCTAACTGAAACCGAACAGAATGTATTTTGGAGTCAAATGCTCCTATGTCTTTGCCTGCTATTTATCAAACGCATCCGCACATAGTGAGCATCTGCAAATGAGGCTGTGTCAAATTGATGTGAGAGCTTGGCCAAAGGGGACATGACTGGAGAGTCATCCCATGGCACCGTAGCCTCAGGCCAGCCTCTCAGCACTCTACTCTTACAAAGACAGCTTGTTCGGCAAAATAAAAAGGCCACTCGGTGGGGGGAAGTGACACCGTAAAGGAAGTTCAATTTGACTGCTGCATGTTTTGACACGGATTTCCTCTGCTAACCTTTTCCGTGGGAGGTCTCGATTGTCCACGTGCAGTTCAAGTTGTGTGGGTAGAAGTCGGGAAAGCCGGGAGAAAGGATGGTTCCGGTGTTGCCCTGGATATAACCGCCGCACAACGCTGACAACGGAGGCAGAGGGAAGCAGAGAGGGGGGAACATGAAGATGAGTTTACTGAAAACACTCCCAAACTGCTGTTATTTACCCTCATGTAAAATGCATTTAAAAAGGACATTCTCTTCAAGATAGAATAAAAGCAGAGAGAGTGTTATTTACAACATTAATAGAAAGCACAAACATCAATAGCGTTCTCAAGAGGCAAAAACAAAAACAAAAAAAAACAAAGAAAAGAAGTGTATACATGCAAGAAAAATCCAATTCTTAAAGGGGATAGCAGCTGGGGAGGGGCATGTTATTACTGCAGCATCTAAAACATTTCTCAGTAGATTAGTCCTTCCAAGTGTAAAACAAGAGTCATTCAAAGAAACTTTCTCATCTTTTATAGATTTTCTAATGACTTTGTAATATTTAATAATAAAAATCTGATGCAATATGAAGCAAACGCTAAAATCATGTTTCATTCATAAAAAGCTCAGAACAATGAATTCTGCTTTAATCTCCCCCCCCATCACCATTTGTGACTTGGGGGGGAAGAAATCTGCCAGGCGACTCTTCGTTTCTAGGTCAATATTAAGGAGCGTACCATCACAGCTAGGCAGGGGGCGACTCCACTGGAAATTAGGCTCGCACTCCAAAGGCTCGGCGTCGCTTAGCGAATAGCCGGCGTCGCAGCTAAATGTCACCAGGCCTCCCACGTAGAAGTCGTTGCCGTGCCGCTGCCCGTTCACAGGGATGCCGGGATCCACGCAGTGGTCCGACTGCAACTGCAGGGCTAGAAAAGGAGGGAGACGACAGATCAGACCATCAAAAACGGGCGAGCGACCGAAATAAAAGCGGCATCATTTAAATTTGAATAGGCAATTGCAAATATTCTAATGAGGCTTAAATAAGTTTGCTTAAGATGTTAAAATCCTTCCAAATAAATTATTCACATATATGCCCATTATTCCCCTCAGCAGACGTGAACCAGTAAGCTTTCTCTCAAAGCTACTTCCCCTGCCCCACCGTCTACATTCTCTGGTATGGCAAGGCTCGTAGTAAATAATTGAAGCTGAACAGAGATTTACCCAAAGTGAAAGTTTAAAAGGTTAGCTTGTGTGCCATACATGGAGGAACGAAAGATGGCCCAGAGGACTAAATTACATGATTAGCGAAGGCTGGCGTAAGGGTAAAAGGTGTAATTGCAGGAACGGGGTACAGCCTGTAACACACTCTTTAGTTAGACTTTGGCAGTGTGTGCATGCGTGCGTATGAGCGTGTGTGTGTCACAGGAGAATTTTCTGACAGAATCTTCGAAAGCCATTTACATCTAAACTAGAGATGTTTTGCTAAGAAGGGTTTTTAGGTGTCAAAGTGAACAGAATTATTCTTGCACCCAAGACTAAGTAACATTAAAAATGCAAAGAAGGCTGCCGCCTCTGATTTGGGCTTCCTGCAGGTATTTGATTCACTCAGGCTATGAAAGGAAAACATGAAAATGAACCACATCCTGTTTTATCTGGATGTACATTGGACTTTGTAGCATCACATGCGGTGGCCCTTACTCTCGTAACGTATGCGGAAGCCGATGTCAGAGTGACTCTTGTCGGTGGTAAAGAGGAGGTACAGGAAGTTTGAGGTGCTGATGAGGAACTGTGGAACCTGGGTGCCCTGGTAACTTCCAATTAGAGGTGAGGAGGGAAATCGGCCGTCCCGCACCTCGAGAACGTCATAGTTGACCTCAGTTCGAAACCTACAGGAAATAAAGGGAAGGCAAAAGATTGTCGGTGTGAAAGAATCGGGCCAACAGAAGAGAGGGAATATGGCTATGTTTTTGATAATCTTCCAGTTGAAATGGTGACTCAGTCCACTACGTTATGAATGCTAATTTCTTTGTATTTATAATGGAATACGTGTCGTGAAAAGGATCAGGCTCACAGCATCACAAATCATCCATAACGCTTAGCAGTGATCATCAGGTGTTTCTCTCTCTTCTGTCGTGTTTGTGGTAAAAAAAAAACAAAAAAAAAAACAAGGCAGTATGACTAAAGTACACCGTTTCAGTTAAAGTCCTGAAAGAGAAAAAGCTTGTCTTTAGGTCATAATAAAAAAAAATAACTCAATTTTTCTAAAAAGCACTTAAGATGGATGTTTGCAATTTACTTTCCGTTTAACTCTTCGTTTTGTGTGCACGCGCGCGAGAGGGTGTGCAATTTCTGTTTTTGTTGCCGCAGCCACTTCATCTTCAAAGCCATGAATAAATAGCCTGCTTACAGAGCCATGTCATCTAAATGAAATGGTTTGTGATATTTTATTGATGCTACATAAAAATTAAATAGCAACAAACATTTATGGAACATTCGTTATGAATAGGATCCTATCGCAGCAGGAGCATGGATAAGATGGGGTTGCGAGGATGAGTTTTACTTAAAACATTTAATGCGGCGTTTCATCCTACATCCTGTCTGTGTGTCCTTTTACTTCAGAACAAATTGCCTCCTCTCCCACCTCTGTGGCCGCCGTGTGTGGATGAGTGGATTTTATATGACTGAGTGCAGATGGCTAGGGTTGGGGAGGTCAGATTTATGGTCAAAGCATTCTGTGCCCCAAAACAATGCTGATTACCAACAATTGCAACGCACTGTGTTGTTAAGAATACTTTACAGTCCGTTTGCCTTTTGCTAAATTTTTAATGCCAACTATTTGTTGCTTGTTCGCTCATTGAAAACACGACGTCTACGTTTGTTTGGTGGGTTTTTATGGCATCGTAACATTATGGGATTTTGTATTCTATTGAAATTTTATAGCAATTCCTTTGAAGTTTAATGTTGACAAACGTTGGGTGTATATATCTACATATATATCCAAGACAAGAGACTAACTTTCTCTTGTCTTTCCTGTGTTATTTAATCTGTGTTAATAGGTGTCAACTCTGACAACAAAACGTGTATATATATATATATATATATATATATATTTATTCAAGTTAAAAATCATTCAGTCAGGATGAGTAGATGTTTTTTTCACCTGAAAAAATGTATTGTATGTCCTGCCTGATCACTCTTTAAGACTGAAAGCTCAGTTTAAATAACGTGACAGTTAGTTAGAGCCTAAGCTACCTCTTTAGGCGTGGTTTATTTATTTAGTCTGTTTTTGTGTGCGAAGAAAGGTGCTTTTAATTGCTGAGGCATAAAAAGTAATTAAGTTAATCAAGTTAAGCTTTCCCTATGAAATTAGAGTGCTCATTACCTTTAACAGTGACAAATTAACACAAGGTAGGGTAACAAAAGAAGAGGCAATAAAGTGCAATTTCCTCTTTAAACTAATTTAATAACAGGAAATTGTACATCCTACTTTCTAGGCCTTTTGGCCTCATCTAGAAGCCAGATTTGGAGCGGTGTTGAAATTGAAATATTTAGAAAGTAAGCTTAATCCAGAGAGAGCACAGCCAACAACCACAGGATCCAAAATGGTATTGGTCCATACGTTTTGGTCCTAGACGGTGTAGAATAACAGATGTTCCTTCTTCACCTTCCTATTGTTCAGGTCTGTCTTTGTAGGGGGAAAAAGAACCTGCGAAATATTAGGTAATTGTTTATAATCAGCGTTTGTATGCATGTGCTAGATCTGCCACTTAAGGACCACTAAAAGCAATAAAATGAAAGAGTCGATAAAGAGACAAACACAAGGCAAGCCGCTGAAAACCGAGAGGCTAAAAACAGAAACATCCCGGACTGTTTAGAGTGGATAAAACGTCGGGGAATAAAGCGGTTGCTGTCTCGGTGACTCACTTGTCGAAGATGATCTTGATGGGATAGCCTGGAGGAGCCTCAATGATCCATTCACAGTTAAGGGCCTCCTTGTACAGTTCTGGCCAGCCAGGGGAGAGAATGATCCCACTGGGAGCCTTCAGATCTCCTCCACATGGGGCTAACAGCGGGAGAAGAAGAAATGAAGAGAGAGAGGGGGAAGAAAAAAAAGACAGAGGCTGAATTATGCATGTCCGTCCCAGGTGATGAATGACGAGGTCTATTGATGATTTCTCGCATTAGCCCAGGCTCCGCCCATTTCCTTTTGCTGCCAGTCTATATTTGATGTAAACTGGTGACGGCTCATTTCAAGGTTAACCACGTCTCTTGCGAACACGTTTGCCACTCTCCGTGTGTCTGTGTTTAAATGCACTAGCTGTTCACGTTACACGCATCACTCAAACTGCTACCTTGTAAAATGTTTCATGCACGGTGATCTTTATCAGGAATAAAACCCAAGAACATAATATCTTTCATGACTTGCACAAAATAATAATAATAATAATAATAAAAAAAATCCACTTAAGCACACAAGCCTCTTCATATTTCCCAGCTCTGTTACAGCTCACTTTACCAGGCATCGCCGGCACCGCCTGTCCTTAACTGGAACTCGCAGAAATGCTGGAGTTCCTCTTGCAGCGCCAGCTCCCTGATCCCTCTCTAAAGTGGAATGATTTAATCAGTCGGCTCAACATACTGAAGGACATCTATGAAACACATTATGCTACAAACGCAGGGGTGAGATAGACGGACTCAAAGGAATATCAAGCTGCTGAGAAATGCAGAGGAGAGGGCATGCTTTAATACTGGATTTTCTTTTTGAATATTGCAGATAGTGAACTTGATTAGCTCTCTTAGAATTTCTGTCATGTCTGCAATCACATTGATTTGTTGCAGATGTCCAAGAAACCTTGGTAAATGCTAAGCTTTATCTAATCTTTGCCAGCTATGCTGGTCTTTTCTGGTTTGCTGGAAATAGTTTATTGATTATGAAGCCACGGAGGGGTAAATTGAAAGCTCAGCAATCTGCATGTAAACACAGCATGTCCGCTGATTCAGACGTTTGGGAGGAGAAAAAAAAAAAAAAGCCTCTGGATGGAGCTAAGTTTCACCATCACATGACTTTAGATGTGCAGTGGTACACTTGTTTTGATCAACAAATTACTAAAGCTATTAAACATTTAAGAGATGTTAAAGAGACTTTAATATTTTAGTCAGCAGACTAATTTATCATTTTGTTTGTGATGCTGCATCAAAAGATATCCAGATCATGGAACAAAAGATCGCTTCATGCCAGGAGGAGTTAAATTTGATGGCTCCTGCTGATGCGTTCATAAAACATGCAGTTATTTCTTGGCTCTCATCTCCTCAAGTCGCATCAACTCATACACTGAGGTTCATGCAAATTTTCCATTTCAAATTTCACACTTTTCCGCACTGAAGTTTCTAGATTTTAACCCCTTAAAACTGTCATGATGACACTGGTGTCCTAATGAACCCATTGACTTGCATGCAAACATTGTGAGGGTGACAGATAATGGGCTAATGACATTCAGGTAATGTGATTACATAATATTTACCATGTTGCAAATGTATAGTACATAGTATCCAAACACAACCCAGTGGTTACAGTAGTTTACATTTATGTAGTGTGGTAAAGGGTCAATTAACGGCTCTGTTGTTTTTCTGGACAAAGTTCATTAATTCTGTTCCAACGTCGTCGAGACATAGACTTACCAATTCTAGAATGGATTTTCCAACAATTAAAATGATTGCCAAACTTTTCAGGTTCTGACACACAAAACAAGACGCAATCCCCCAAACATTCATTGAGTACTGAGAAAGGAAGTTGTGACGCAGGGAATTTCCAACATGTCTGCCATTTGTATGCAATAAGTACCAAGTCGTTTTTGTACCAAGTCTTTTAGGAGTACATGAAAAAGAATTGCCTTCAGAATAAAAGCCACAGTTTCCAAAAAGTTAAACCAAAGATCATTATTGTAATAACAGCATGTAATCAGACGCTGGTTTCGCCTCACTCACCTTCACATCGGGGGACGGCATTGTCCCACACGACGTTGCCATCCTTCAGAATGCAGGATATGGTCTGAGAGCCGTGGGTCTTAACAAAGCCCTCTTCACAAAGGAATGAGATGGAGCTGCCCAGCTGAAGGCTCTCGCCAAAACGCTTCCCGTTAACCGGCACCCCTGGATCTGGGCATTCGTTGTGGCGAAAAGCTTTGGAAAATGCAAACAAGGAGGCAGTTCATTTGGAGGATCAACAAAGGTGTGAGGAGAGTGTTGTTGCCTGTCACTGAATTAAAATGTGAGCATTTTAGCTCACAGCATTGAGCTTAAAAAAAAAAAAGATAATTATTCAGATTGAAGGACTTAAATTATGTGTTACTGTTTCCAGATGTCTTTGTTTTTATTCATTTTATTAAAAACTCACGTGAAAAATAGAGGGTCCAAGACAACACATAAAAACTGTCGTTTCTTGTTTTTCACAACAAACTTGTTCATTATTTATACTATAATGTACAATGCATGCCTTAATTTACGTTTACTTTACTGTATAAAGTATCATGCAGCAAAACTAGACGATTGCAGTAATATTCCTGTACCTAAATTTTTTGTAAAGATTCAATTAAAGATCTTCCCCACTGGCTAATAAAAAATGAACATAAAATAAAAACAGGCAAAAACGGACACCTTCACCTATTCATCTTATTGTTATTATTTATCTGCGACATGTTCGACGGTCTCATTTTTCTGTGGGCGATCACAAGATATTGATGAAGGATTCTTGGCAAAACCTTCCCTCTATTCAATTAACTACAAGCATTTTGCAATGTGAGCTTAAGATGAGAGGGAATTCATTTCACTTTAGTCACAAAGATTCACTGTGCTGCAGTGATTCTGCGCAACCACTTCGCCATGCAGATTACTTGCACCAGGTGATGCTGCTGAGATATTTGTAAAGTAAACAAAAGGGGACATTGTTGTCACACCTTTAGAGCCCTATAAATCAGGCTTTTCAATAAAATTCAAGTGGGGACAAGATAGAAGGGCCACGGCAGCGCGCGGCCCTCGAGGAAGACTCATAGCCCCGGAAAAAAAGGGAACGTAAACAAATGCATTACCTGTCCTGCTATCTCTCTCACTCAGTCTTTCTCAGTCTTGTATACACAGCAATTGGTGACACATGTAGGTGTTGATGAATCCCTCTTTCCTAGCCAATGGACCCAAACAGTGCCAGCGCCTCTTCATCAATCTCAAATATCTTATTTATTAGGGTGCCAGAAATTGCCTCGATACAGTTTGGCATGTCCTTAATTAACAAGAATGATGGAAGTTGTGTGCTCAGCCCAATGACCTCCTAAAAACTCTCCTGCAGTCGGACGACACTGTTCACAGGAATAGAGTGTCATCTTCAATTAACGTCTCCTGACATTTTTCCACAATGCTACACTGACTCTTTATTTTTATGGCTCGATAAATCATTCATTAGCCACCGTGTGTTGTCGCCATTATGTCTTTACAGGAATACCTGGATTTGGGTAAATCACAGAGCATGTCGGAGTCAGAGTTCAAAAGCATTCTTTCACACTGCAGTGATTTAAAAAAAACAAAGAGTTGACCTGAAAATGTTCATACTTTGTCATGATTTCACATGAAAATCTTAAAAATTGTGGTGTGTATTTGTATCCAGCTCCTGGATTAATACTTTATGGAACCACCCTTTGCTACAATTACGGCTGCGAGTTTTTTTTTTTTTTTTTTAATATATATATATACTTTTGCCAGCTTTTCACAGCTAGAGAGGAAAATTGTTCCACTTTTCCTTCCAAAATAGCTCAAGCTCCATTATAATGGAAGTAGAGTGTCTCTGAAATTTAATTTTCAAGTCTGGCCACAGATTTTGACACATGGATATGCACTGATCTAAATTATTCCATTGTAGGTTTAACCTCCATCATCCCGTCTCACAGGCTCTGAAACGTCTAACAGCTTGACTTGGAAGATTGACCTATATTTTGAGATTTCTGGCCCAAGAACATTCTGGCCCAACGACTAACACCAGCTTTCGTATTGATACTAAATAAATGCTTCCGCACAGCGTGATACTGACACCACTGAGTTTCAGAACGGGATGGTGTGTTCACAATAAGATGTAGTGTTTGTTTTCAACCACATATAGTATTTTGCTTGTAGGTCAAAGTTTTCTATAGTCTCATCTTAGCAGAGGATCTTCTTCCATGTTTTTTTGCTGTGTCCCCTACATGGCTTGTATTAACCAGCTAACTGGACATCCGATGGCTGTCTTCCTCTTTCATAAACATGAATAACTAATAGTTGTACTGATGACGACCTGAGGTGCGGATCTCTGCAGGTCCTCCATAGTAATCATAGGTCTGATTGCTGCCTCTCTGATTTGTGCTCTAATTTTCCGTCCTTTCCAAAAACGTGGATGACCATAACCAACTCAGACTGCAGTTGTGCCATACTCAGTTCATTTTCAGAGTTAAGATTAAGCAGTCCTCTGCGAGATGTCCAAAGCTAAAGCTAAGTTAGGATTAATTTTCTTTGAAACTTTTGCTGTACTGACAGTATCTGTTAATGTACAACTTTGTCTTCTTGTGCTTCAATTTGACTATAGTCCACTAAATTTATTGAGTCAGGGTTCAAAATGTACAAGAGTGGACTGGTTGCAGGAACAAAACCCAAAAGAGCAAGGTTAGAGACCGAACCGCATTTAGTCTTAATGAGGGGGAAAACAAAACACAGAACATGTAAAAACCTAAATGTCACCATGGGCTTAGATGTTAATTTTAAAAACCATATAAAATCTTAATTTTAAATCATAGTAGTGCACCCTGAAACATTGCAAAACAAATCATTTTCTATCAAGACGGCACAAAAAAAGCCTATGCACGTCTTATTTTCAGTAGGTTAGAAAAATGTGATACAAGTCAGTGTGTCCATACAGGTCTCTGAAAATAAATCAGACAGCTGCAGCTCATCTAAAATAAACCTGCCAGAATCCCAAACACCACCAGGAAAATGGATCATGCCATACCAGTCCCTACATACCTACATTGGCTCCCTCTGTGAAAGCGTGGATTTTCAAATTGTCTTGATTGTTTATGACACGGAATCGTCTTGGCCTGAATTCATTTCAGAGACGCTGGTCAGGTGTGATACATCTGGACTCCTGAGGTCGTCACAGACTGCTTTACTCTGTTTTCCTGGGTTAAAGACTAAGCAAGTACAGGCAGCAAAGAACTACTGTATTCTCAACATTACTTACATGAAACCCTATTTACTCATTTCTAAAGACTAGTGGTTTTATTAGGATGCAATAAAGAGGATGAATACCAAAGCATACTGCTTTTTTTTGTACAAAATTTTGAAACATGTATTTTTTTTCTACCTGTACTTCTCTGTTTTGCTGAGTGACACATAATCTGTGTTTGTAACATTCCACAATGTTTCAAGGTCTAAGGGGTTTATAAGGTGCTGCATTAAACAAGCGTTACCTTGAAAACAGCCAAGAATCAATAGTTTACAAAGTAGTATTGTCTGCGAGACTGATATTTATTTGAGATGTTGGCAAATTCAAAATTCAGGCTCACTACACAATAGTGCATAGACAACAAACACGATAATCCTGCTGCCAAAATCCTCACGGTGAAGTATATCCATGAAATGGGTTTACCAGCATGCACCCTGTGTTTACTGTGTCTGACTATAAAAAGCATGTTGAATTACCTCCAAAGTTGGCAGTTAGCAAAAATGGATTATTACAAGCACTGCCACAATGTGTCAGGTAAGGATATTATACTTCATTTAGTTTTTTTTTATTTTTTTTATATGTTTTGTGTTTGCTTAGATGTGTTTTTGTCATATTGTGGGACTTTATAGAGAGCGTGTTTTTGATGTGGAAACAGATTTCAGTCTGCAAGAAAACAAGGCACGGCGATATGTGGGATGATTTATAATACCAATTACAGGCTTTGGCACAAATACACACACACAAATGTACACCATCCGTGTCAAACGTTAACACTTATTTTTCTCTTCTGTTAGGAAAGACTTACTTGTAAAAGTGATATTGAAGCCTCTGTCCGTGTACGTGTGGTCTGTCAGGAATTCAAGTCGGGCCACGTGACCGCTTGTTGTTATGGGGGGAGGCAGAGCGTCTCCAGAGAAGGTGCCCAGAATGGGAGATTCGGCCTGAAAAAGAAACGATTTTCTGATGAGGACCAAAGATTTCCAGTTTGTAGAGAGGAGAAAAAAAAAAAGAAAATATTGCACAAGTTTAAAAATTCAGTCAAAACAGCAGGCTTGTAGTTATAATTGCGCAGTGTGATTTTCCTAAAGACATTGACAGATCTACAGATCAACACGAGAAGTGAAGCCAAGAGCTATTAAAAGAAAGCGAGGAAATTAAGACGTAATTGAGCAGAACCTTTCCGCCGTCCTTAATGGAGAGGAAGTCAAACTGTTTCTCCATGCTAAGGTCGTTGAAGGCCAGGTTGATTCTGCTCTCGGGGTTGGTGATGATGAGCCACACACAGTGCATGTTGTTCCCGTATTCCTGAGGGTAGTTGGGAGACAGCAGGACTCCGGATGGAGTAGTAAAGTTGAAGAAGCAGGAAACTGGAACAAGTAAACAGAGATGCAAACAAAAGAAGACGTGAGGAAGAAATGAAATGCAATAACCAAGGAGATGGGAGAAATATATTGGATGTGTTCAAATGACTTTCTTTGATTATATGACAATATAAAATGAACAATTTTAATGAATTTGTAGAAATGTATCTGATAAAGAAAAAACACACTTAAGGCACCTAATAATTCGGAGAGGACAAGTAATTTTAAGCCCAATGACAATTATTAAAGATTTCTCACTCACATACACAGTGAGAGCAAAATTAATCTAATACATCTTCTGAGTATAAAACAAATAAAAATAGACAGAAAAAAAAGCAATTTTTCATCCGGCCAGCTGGGGCGTTTTAGACAGAGCTGGTATGGATTGTGTACACTTATGGGAAAGGCTTTATGTAACCCAACAATAAGTGGAATCTTCCCTGTCTACCAAATGGGAAGATTATTACTTGATCCCAGCAAAGTCCAGACAATGCCCTTTAATGGCAACAGCTCAACATCATGTTGTATGTCAGGGTGAGAGTCTGAACAGAGCAAGAAGACCGCTGCCATTTTTTAAAAGCTCATTTTTAAACCACAGTGGCTAAGAAGCATTTCCACCACTTACACATTTTATTACCATTTTATTGAAATTGCCTAACTTAGTATTTTATGTTAATGATAGGTGAACAATTATTTTAAACCGTATAATTTCCACTTTGTATTTGTCTCACATTAAATGTCAACAATACATATTGTTTATATAAATTAATTGCATGATCTTGGCAATTTGTTAGTTCAATGTTAACTAAATAGTCCTTGTATTAGGCCAAATTAAATTTGCGTCAAAAAAAAAAAAAAAGTTATTCAGCTCACTGATATTTATCACAGTTTTTGTCCATCTTACTGTCTTTTAAAAAAATAAAACATTATCTACACGGTCAGCTCTCTCTTCCTGCACCCCTCATCATTTACCTCTCATTTTCTGTGTTTGTTGTTTATTGAGTTAATTAGCTAATAATCCCTCCCCATTGTTTCTAAATCCACAGTCTCTGCAAGACAAACTGTGGGGATAATCTCATGCTTTATTATGCAGCTGCCCCCCGTACTTATCTGCACGGTATTTATTCACCCACATCGGTAGTTTATAAATTCACAAATGAGGACCGTCAAATCTGACGCAAAAATAACTTACAAACACAGCTGGGTTTCTTGGCGGACCACTGATTGTTCTTCTGACAGGTGATGTTCTTTTTTCCCACGAGCTCGAAGGCAGGCAGACACTCAAAGTACAACCTGTCCCCGTGACGAAAGCCTGTCCCTTCCCGTTTGCCGTAGGCTGGAATTCCAGGATCCCCGCAACTGCCCTGGTCGATCTCTGTAGAGGGAGGTGCACACACAAGTTAAAGCAAAGTTAAAGTAAAGTTCAAGTAAATATTGTAAATAAAAACTCTCCAAGTTATTTGAATTTTATCGTCAATGTCTGAGCATCTCTCCGTCTCATCTGACTGCAACTGTATCCATTCGATTACCGAGTGATGAATGTTCTCGCCTCTGTTGGGAAGTTGATGTGAGCACTTTTTTGACTAGCGCACAAACACATCCGCACCTTTCTGCAACACACCTCTTTGCAAATTTCATTATCACAATAATGCATCGACCCTTCTTTCGCTCGCTCGCCTCTCGACTCTCCCGCAGTTGAAGATTGCAAAGAGAAATGCTGAGGCGTCCTATTTAGGCGTCTGAACAGAGAGTGAATAAGCTCATCCATCCAGGTAAAAAAAGATGGCAGGGCATAATATGATTTTGAGTGGCACCGGGGGTAATTCTTGCCATAGATCCATACTCAGCCCTAATGATGATCATAATTTGGAACACGTGGTGTTTGGTGCTGTTTGCAGGTATAGCTGTCCTTAGACGGCCTCATTTCAGGGACAGCACAGCGGTCCTTACGTGGATCGAGGATAAGGGTGAATGCTGGGTGATCCTCAGGGAAGATGTAAGGTCGGACAAAAGATGCACCTCAAACAAAGCTACAAGTATATGATACATTAGTACACACAGGTAGAAAAAAGTCACACACAGAGGCACTCGAGTACAAAGATGATGTATATTTACCATATTGGTCCCCTACCATTGAAACGCCAGGCAAAGTCAAGCTATTAAACATGAGCCTTTTGAAGTCTGAGAACATATAAATGAGATGTTTTCCATGACCTATGTGTTTTAGTGTGTGTGTGTGTGTAGTATATGACAAAACAGAGAATTAAACTGCACTCGAAAGTTATGAAAAGGGTAAATATGGAAAAAAAAATAAAAATAAAAAAATAAACAATCTTATCTGTTGAGTCAGCCTTCCATCAGCTACTACACTGCAATCTCCAAAGGCCGTACGGAAAAACGGAGCTCTGCTAGCCAAGGTTTACGGTATGGCCCAGAAAAGCATGCAATAACTTAAAACGCTTTTAACAACACCACCTCAACCTTGTTTCAGTAAGAGTTGCAGACCTCAGAACAGCTTCCCGTTTTAAATAAAAAGCTGCTCAGGAGACAGCATCACATTCCTGCTCTACAAATTAATGAGCTCTTAAAGTAGATTTCTTTAAACGGGCTTTCTGCTCTGATAAAGTGTGTTTTGTTTTTCTATTTTTACATTTTCTATTACTTATTGGCTTTAAAAACAATTTTCTTTCATTAGCTTCTAATGTTTGATTGTTGACATTTCCCTTTTAAATGTATTTTGCTGGATTTATTCATAATTTGTTTCTAAAAATACTTTAGTTTGAGGTGGTTTTTAAATGTAGCTCTACTAACGAATAAATTAAGTGAAAAACGAGCACATAATCAAGCCCATGAAAAATATTAGGACTAAATCCATCAACCAACCGATCATTTTAAAGTCTACTTCTGTTTCAATCAGCTGTAACAAATATAAAGTCAACAACGCACTATTTAAGAGGCTGTCACTAGTCTAAATGCTAATACAGGAGCTAGTGTTATGAATAAAATATTTGACCAGATGTATAACACAATATCAATATAGGTGGCATTTAGGTAAAAAATGTATAAAGGACAAAATGATGTCATACATTTTGTGCAGTGCGTGAATTTGCTTTAGGTATAAATACAAGCCGCTGATTCATGTCACTCTATCATAAACGTCTGAAGTGGCTGACTCACCTACAGACCTGCTTACTTGCATTAACACCTAACCATGTTTGTAAGCATTACATTCTCAGAAAGAAGGCCAGCGCTGAAGGTGTGTGACCTACAATAAAATATGTGCACTGATTTGACTGTATTGGCAACTAAACCTGATGATCAGGCTTAAAAAAATACAGGTAATTGAAAATGCTAATTAGATTTCGGTTGCTCCTATCGAGGAGGTGAAGTGTTCCAGAGTGTTTCTTCCCCCTTCATTAGGTAGAACTCATTGTTTTAATTACACTTTTGTTCCATATGCTGCTGCTCCACTTTCTCTGTGGTTTTTACTGATAATATACAAACATTTGGACCGGAGGAAAAGGCTCAATGTACTTTAGATAGAACGACGGACGGACGCGAAAACATAAGCTTATACGCATCTGCTTTTATGTTAAATTATATTATGCAGCCAAGACACATAATAGAAATTATGATTAAAAACACTGGAATTAAGCATTGGGGGGAAAAAACAAAAGCCACATCAATACTAATGAATTAAAGGCCATCTGATTGTGTTTGAGCTCATTAAGGTTCAATGCATGAAACTCGATGCTAGCAATGAATAAAAATCAGTTTACAACTTATTATTGCCAGGGTGTTAAACCCAACAGAGATTTTCTGTCAGGTTTTTAAGAGATCACTTGGACCTGTGTTACGTTTGAAGTCCTCGTAAGCCATCATTATATTCTATGAATGTGGCAAATGGAGATCAAAGGCCTTTAATTACCACAATCTTTTGTTATTATGCTAAAAGGCTTCAAAAGCCAATGTCTCTCTCTGTTCAATAAGTTTTGGGACCTAAACTCAATCAAGCTTGTTAAACTGAAAGAAAGGCAAAACAGGCTTTGGTTATGCAGATTAAGTCAGGTTTCTCTGTCCGTGGAAAAACAGCTAATGTATGAGGGGGAAAAAAATAGGTATAGACAATAACCTCTTTCAGAAAATAGCTCCTTCAAACAGCTGCAAAGTCGAGCCCTATTTAAACTACTTCTCAGTATTTGCAAATCTCCAGCCGAGCTGGTTAGGTATCCCACAGATGGCTTCATAAATTAGGATAAGAACTCAAACCAAGTCCGTACACAGCATGATTATACATTTATTATGTGTAAAAAGTATGGCAGATATTTTCTTTTCTGAGAGTTACTGGAAATTGGATGACGTGTCTGAAGTCTGTCGAAACACATTCTCTATTTTTCCTCATCACAAAGCCCAACACCAATAGTGTTTGGCCTTTTATGTCTGTGACGTGGCACCCTCCGAGGTTTTGTTCTCCTTTGAAGCATCGCAGTTGCTGAATAAACCCTTAGCTAAAGTCTTCCAATCTTTTCGTTAACACTGGGCTATTCTAGGTATCGACGAGAACTGAAGCTTCAACTGATGCCCCACACCTTGGCCTTGTGTTTTCACCAGTAGTAGTTTTTATTTGCCTTCATCAGTCACTCTGGACTTCAGCAAAAACTTTAGACAACTACACGTGGCTATTCAGAAAGAGCCTTCTTGACGGCCCACAGCAGCAATTTGTGATCAAGTATTTTTCGAGCTTCAGCTGTTGGGATAAAGTCCTCATATTAAATAGATTCTGATTATACTTGAAATAGTATAGAAATGCGTTTTAAGTCTTCCTACCATTTTTGGTAGCCACAATTCCTATTCTTATGTGGTTGGTGATGTTCTTCCTCCTTTTATATTAATTACAGCAAAGAGTCACAAGTCCTGCCTGTCTAAAATTGGTAGATAAAGGTAGGATGCAATTAGTTTTCCATTTAATGTATTTATAGTCTTAATGATGGACAATACATATGTAAAGAAAGTCAATTTAAAGTTGTTGAAGATTCCATTTTTAATGCTCATGAATACATTTTGTATATAAAAACCTATTCTGAAGAATTACTGGCACATTGAATAAGTCTTAAAATGAATCTGAACACATTTTTATTATTTAGTGTTGCTAATCAATCTGACTTATATCCATTCTTACCCTCAAAAGTGACTTTAAATCCAAGGGAGCCACTGGTGTCATCCGTTTTGAAGTTCAGCCACATCTGGTGACTGGTGCTCACCACCAGGTCTGGCGTCGTCGTACCAGACAAGCTGCAAAATCATTAACACAAATTTTGTTTGGTTAGGTCAAATACACAGTTTGAGAGCGAAGAATACATCAGAGGTGACTGTACTTAGTGAAAGTTATCCATCCACTCATCGTCTATACTTGCTTATCGTCACAGAGCAACACAGGGGCAGAAGAACCTTGCACATATATATTCGTACACAAAAACTATCTAGACAGACTAATCTAAAAAGTGATTTTTTTTTTTTTTTTTTGAGAAAACTGACTCATGCAAAGTAGAGAACAGGCAAACTCCAATTAGAAGAGCCCCAGGCTGGGATTTGAACCCACGACTCTCTTGCTTCAAGGCAACAGTGCCATCAACTGCTCCACCGTGCAAGCTGCAGGCTGCATGGAGGAATGGTGATTTTATTATGAAACTGTTGTCACGTTAATAGCTCAAGGACTTAGTATTTCTGTATCCTTTCAACTACCAAAGGGAAATATTAAAGCCTGGGTTACATACAAGACTACTGAACTCTAAAGCTCCTATGAGAAACTCCAACCTGAGAAATTTCAAAGCCTTCATGCAAAACAGCTGGGGACCAGTGGAAAATGAAGGCAAGATCAGTCAATGTCACAGTAGTAATTTAATCCTATTTGAATAGTAATTTCACCCAACTCTAATTAGGAAGCGTATAGCTGCAGAGTAAGTGATTAACGGCTCTAATTTTAATGGTGGAATACAGAGAATAGAGAAACGAGTGGTTGTGTTTGGCAAAGTTGTTTTTATGTGTCGTTTTTATCCTTTTAAAACATTATATTTGTTAGGGTTTTTTTTTTTTTTTTAGCCTTGTGGGTGGAGCTGGGATCAAATATTTAGTTGCTGTTTTTGTTTTTTCAGGGGGTTTTTTATTTCAGGAACAAAAAGCTGAATGGAATATCCGTTCATGTTGCACGACTTGACCCATAAAACTGCATCGAGATTTTAAAAAATCTATTTCTGCAAATACTGCTTCCTTTACTACTTTCATAAATCTAAAACTGCTTGAACTAATTTTACACAATACACGCCATTATTCTTAATTTTGACCCATTTAAAGGAACAGTTTGGATTTTCTATGGTGAGATTCTGTGAGTGTATGCGTAAAAATCTCATATCCACGATGAGTTTGCAAAAAAAACAAAAAACACTAAGAAATCTTCAGATAATTTGGAAGCTAAAAAACTGTCACTCACATTTTATTTGTGTGCAAAGATGACTAACCTACTAACTAGGCCTTTGTGCTCAGAAGAGATTGATGGGATGAGCAAAAATCTTCACAAGAATTGATTTCTATCCTTGCTTTATTTTTGTTTAACTGTTTGCCAGAGAAAAATATTAAACTGCAGAAGCCATTTCTCACAACGTCAACATTTATCGTTTTTCCTGCTCACTTCTAACAGTCAGGCAGCCTCAAATATAAACTGATCTATAAAACCTTTATTAAGGTGGTACATTTCTGCACAATTAATAATAACATCCTGTGAATAGAGCATCTGCTGGTATGAACCAGCAGATGCTGTTTGCAATGCCACACCACTTTGCCGTTGCACTGTTTTTCAGTACTGGAAAGAGTTCTGATTGACAGTGTAGTGCAGCATCTATTTTTAATACCCCACTGCATCAGGTGCTGACGAAATAAAAGAGAAACTGTGCCAATGGGAGATAAGTGCTAGGGGCAAAGGAAGAAAGTGGGCCCTTGCTGGGCATGAGGAGGCAGAGAGGAAAACTAATAGCAAGTGCTACAACACAGAACAAAGACTAAGAGAGGAAAGCACGAACAGCGTCAAAAGACATCTGGCAGAACAGAAACGACTAGTGTCCCAAAGAGCAAAAATGAAAACAAAGGGGAGAAAAATTAAAAGCAAAGAAAGATGAAGGTCAAAGAAGGAGGCACTCACACGTGGAAAATGGTCTTCTGGTCTCCCACGAGCTCGCCGTCTCCCACCGTCAAGGTGTCGTAACCTCTCTCCAGGTCAAAATCCTCAAATGTCAGCTTGATCACCTAGACAACAGCAGAGATATCGCCCAGAGAGGCATAACTGACAGATGCTTGAATGATCTCGAGATCAGGCGCAGAGAAGAGACCTCCTTCCATCTGTGATTCCCGATGCCCCCGTCCATCAATCCATCATTCAAGAGTCTCATTTGAATATTTTTCAGACACATTTCAGTGGACACCTATGATGCAGCTGCACAACCTGCATATAAAGTTCTACTTTGCCTTGCGAATTTTCATACTGGTTTTGGACAATTTCTATAAACTTTTGTTGAACATATGGCCCCCGTTTTGGTTTGTACAGATAAACATTTTTGCATTAAAGCGACACATGGTTCCTTAGGTATGCTTCCCCACATCTCATTTTCTATGTTTCCCTCATTAATCCTCACCCACTAATCAAACATCTAATGCCTTATCAGATGAGACGTGTTTTGAATCATCTCAACACATTCCAAATTCAAAGCAGGAAGAAGTCAATCAGTTTTAAGGCCCGTTTCACCAGACTTAAAATGATTTAAAGCACCATTTTCTGACTGAATACACACTTTGTAGAATATTTCCTACATATAAAGTAGACATAACGACTGAACATCTCTTTAAAGACTTCATGGGGTTTTTTTTGTTCAGCACATAAAATCTCTATAAAACACAGACATGACATGCAATGGGTGTGAATATTTTGCAAGACACTGAACATTTTATAACAGAAATATTTTTATATTATGCGGTCGATATTGAAGCATAAAAAAACAACTTAGTCCTAAAATGCATCTCTGATAGGCACGGATGAACACATTAATTAACCAACAAAGAAACCCAGTGATGACAGACAGAGTAGCAGAGCTGATAGGTACGATATCACCAAAAAACAGAACAATATTTTGTCTCTTAGACTAAATTGGGTGCCACTGATTTCTGACAAACTCCTAATATTTTCAGAAGGCTGAGAGAGCAAGGACTAATGAAAAAGCTTATATAAATGCAAATTGCATTCTGTACTATGTTAAACCTTGTGCCTAATGAAAATTGCCAAGGTGGAGAGAAAAGATTGATGATGTGTTCCAAAATAGGTCAGATCGCTCGATAAATAGAGTTTTATACTACAAACTCTTCTCCAATCTGTCAGCCAACAAGTTAAGTTAAGGGGAGATAAAAGAGCAAAGGTGGGGAAAGGTGGAAAAAAAACAAAGAAAAAAAAAATCTTTGCAACCACACCATGAGTCTGTTATGGGAAATGCATCTATGCAGTTGAAAGGGATCAATAACAAGCTTAAATTTGAAATAGTGTTTACTGGTGTATGTTTTTTATTCTGTGATCCTCTATGCTGTCAAGACAAATCCTTGAGAGTATTACTCAACAAAAACACCAAATATTCTGAATATATGGTCTCGTTTAAAAATATTAATACCCCTTCAACTTTAACATATCATCACTTTAAAACTACCAGCTCTAGTGTGTTTTATTCAGCATAAAGTAGTGAAAACGTTTCAAGTGAAAGGAAATATCCCACCACAGATTCTCAGAAAGAGTTAGGTCTGACAATTAATATGATTTAAAAGTTGAATCTATAAAGTATTTAATCAGGTGAGCAAAAATACATGCACACTTGGAAAAAAAAAAAAACATTTCCCTTTTCTTTCGCTTTATAGTTATGCAGTGTTGGTTTAACACATACAATTTCAATGAATATAGCATATCCTAACATGACAAATGTTATAAGGTATGAATATTTATGGTAGGTTCTATAAAGTCCAAAGAAGACAGTGTTAATGCAGATACCAGCTGTTCAAAAAACCAAACAAAATAATCTTAGAGTTGAACTTTTTGAAGCCAAACACCTTGGCAACTTTACTGTAAATTTAGATTCATACCGGATTAATGCTTTGATACCAATATTAGTAGTTGGTTAAAGAACAAGTCTCTGAAACTTTGTTTTCTTTCCTAAGAGCAGTGTACTTTACATTGCAGAACATCTTCAATGGTACACTCGCCATTCAATTTGTTTTGGATCAGAAAACCAGAGTCCTTCATATTGATGCTTTAATACCTGAAAGACTTCAAAAATAAACTTTTTGTATCTTCAATAAAACTGACCACAATCCGCATTTTGTCACGGCGTCTCGAAACTGAATTTAGGCCTAGAGGAATCATTGTCATGTCCTATTCTACTCCCTGTGCAGTACCTCAGCTAACACCTCCTCTGGCTGGGTCTGTGGAGATGGACAGAAATAGAAGCTCATTACATCTGTAAACAGAAAGAACAGCCTCGTTCCATCGTCATCTGCACCAAACAAAGCAAGATGCTGCCTAAAATACCAGGGTGTGTTTCCGCTTGCAGCCTGTTGGGTATACGGAGTGCGTTTCCATAGCTGCAAACAAAGGTTGGGCGTCGGTGGACATATATCGCTTCTGACTTGCATTCCTGCTTTATCTCTGTTCACAAAGCCGCTTTCACTCGTTGCAGTGAAAAAGAAGGAAAAAAAAGGCGATTTTTACAACTACGTTGCTCGGTTTTACAGAGGGGCATTTGGCAGAAGAGTAGCTGAATGGCCTTGAACACAACTCCAAAGTCCATGGTTCTAAACAGAGGGGCTGTGAGACTTTCATGTTCTCCTCTAAGCATGCCCTTAAAACCATTATTCTGCTGTCCAATTCACCCTCTTTGTGCCACCACAGGTAATTCTAACAACTCGCTCGTGGCTTTTGTTGGAGCACATCCAGTCATTTTCTCTCCTTTAATTTCTTCGTCTCTTACGTTTCAGTCTATCGCTTGGCGTGCTGAAAAGCTCCCCAAAAGTGTCCTGTAGCGATCGTCAAAACCCCAAAAGGAGTCCTGCGTGGCAGAACGCTGCGTCCTCTTCTCAAACAGGTAAGCTGAATTACACGGCTTCACACACATTAACATTTTCACAGGAAACAACCAAAAGTCGATTGAAAACCCTAACCGGTTTCAACTCAGAGCTCAGGATAAGTGAGAATTACCTTAGACGTGTCAGTTGCTGTGATGATCCAAGTGCAGTTGGCATTGTTATCGTACTGAACAGGATAATTAGGAGATGTGATGACACCGCTGGGTCCTTTTAGCTGACCGCCGCACATTGGCGCTACGAGACAACAGACACAAAGAGGTAAATGTTTTGTTAAAGACCAATTCAGACACATGACATGATCACAGAAATGGTGGTGTTTTATATTGTCACTGCCCGAAATGACAAAAATGTCAGTCATTCTTCTATAGACACACCTGTGTAGGATTGGATTGCAAGTTTATCTTTAAGACTTTACTGATTGCATTTTCTGAAGGATCTACTTTCAGTGTTGTATTAAAAAAAAAACCTAATTAATCACCAAAGTTGCTCTAGCTCTTACACCGTGCAACTGATTATGCCTATTTACACATTCAATAAATTAGAATATGAATTTCAATGAGACTTGTCTGTCAGTTTAAAAAAACCTTTTGAAAGTAACCTTGAACCAGGTGCTAGGACATACTTTTACATACATTTCTGTATTAAAAGTCATGTTTTTGCTGGACTCATTTTATTTTATCTGTAATTGCATTGCTGTTGAGTTGTCGTCATTAACTGAAGTAAAGGCTTGAAGACGCGAGTAATTAACGTATATAATTAAGTTCACTTAGTGAATTGAGTTACTGCAATAAATGGACTTTCCAATAATATTCAAATCAAAAACAATAATTTTCTTACAGATAAAATGATCTATTTCATACTCAAAGATGTGGAGTCTGACTAGTAAAAAAGTCAAAAGTCATAAAATAAACAATACAGTCAACAACTGAGAAAACCAGAAACAAAGATCGCAATAAACGACACAACCGCCATGACTTGCTATCCAATTATTGATGTCTGTCGGATCTGTCTGATGCATTTCTGCTGCAGCATCAAGTCAAAAGTTATGTGCAGTTTGATAGAAGTCATTATCAACTTGAACATGCACATTCCTCCTGTAAGGTTTTTGAAACAAGATTGTCTGTCGACCTTTGACTTTATAATTTACTGGGATTCTTTCTAGAGAACACTAAAATAAATACAGAACGATGGGGCCAAGAGAATAAACAGTAGAAGTAATCATAACACAGAACCTTAAAAAGTATTTAAACCTATTCAATTTCTTTTTCACATTTTGTCATGGTGTAGCTACTATGCACTGAACTATGGCATAACTGAAGTTTTTAAATGTGAGATTCAAGTTCGTTGTAACAAAACAAAATGTGGCAAAGGATGAATTCCTTTTCCAGTATGTATAATATATAAGCTGATAAGCTGTCCTCATCCTCAGGATTCACTGCCCTTCATACTTTGAGCCAGGCGATAACTTAAACACATTTCTCTTTGAACATTGCAGTAACTTGATTATAACTTAATAAAGAAAGTAGATTGCTTGGAAATCAAGATCCACTCAACTAATAGAAAATCAGTTTTATTTAAATGTTTTAATGATCTTAGTCCACCTGTCTGCATTTAAAATTTCATCTAATCAACAGGGAAAGGAAACAGCATAAATCTCCCTTTAAATATTCACATCGACAGAGTAGGTGAGGAATTGGCAAAACAGACTTAAAAAAGAAAAAGGTACAAGGTGACTTTTCTTAGGGAGGCCCGAGGGCATCAGCATGGTGGAACAGTTAAAAAAGAAATACATTTAATTAAAAACAAGACTTCAGGAAGTCCTCTGCCTGTGCGTATGTGAAGACAAATCTCACATATGCATTATTTGGAAAAAGAGAGGTCTTCAGGGTGTTGAAGAACCACAAACTACTTGCATACTAAATCATTATACCACCAACGTAAACCTATTTACATCTAGATCTGTCTGGCAAATTTAGGAGCAAGTTATGTAACTGTAAATAATGTTGATAATTAGAGCAAGAAAATTAAGGTTGTTCTTTTTTACCACTTGTCCTATACACCTTATGCAGGAATCTGTTGGCAGAGGAGATAGGCATATGAGAGGATTATATGCTAATTATTAGGATTATATCAGATCATTAGCAGAGGAGAACATAAGTAAGATTGAAAAGGTAAATAACATATAATTGAAGTTAGAAATATTGATCTTATGCCAAGAAATCAATTTGTAAATACCTTATCCCAAAGTGTTAATGATAGCCCAATTAAATGTAATGATGACTGATGCTAATTCAGGATACTCTAATTGCTTCCCGAGAATGTTTTATCTTTATCTAAGCATTGTGAGTCTGATTAAAGGCGCAGCATGAAAGGGTTCATAATGGATTGCTGAATGCTGAAAGAAGACATTCGTCAGGACAAATTTCACTCACATTACGGATGATGTTGGTACAAAACTGTCAGTATAAGACTTTATGCTTCACTGCATCACAAAGGTATTTTCTGAAATGCAGGTGACAAAGACTGCAGATGGAACCACGACTAATTAGCACCACATTTCCTAAAAGTCACATTCATTTAGTGGATGCTGCAGTGTAAACCGGTTGTACCAATTTTAGAAAATCAGTGACAGCTCTCGCAGTCAAAGCAAAAACCATCGCTACCGTTGACAAAAGTATAGAAATAAAACTTTTGCTAAATTATCGCAATCTCCATAAAAAACCTTTTGATTTTGTGGAATATTTTTGTTGGATTTTTGGGACGTCATAAGTGTCCTGATAATTTTGCTTCTAAGGGTGTAAAATGAGATGCATTTAGTGAATAAGTAACTATAAACTATTTTGTTTATTAGCTTATTCATCAAGTTCTCTTTCTCCATTAAATCTGTTTGGCTGCTCAGCAGAAAAGTGATGCGCTTTCACATCCACTCAGCAATTTAGAATTCTTTGAACGTCCTAAAATAGTAAGCCGTTATTTTTTTGTTGTTTTTTATTGAACTAGCTGTTAAAGTTTTATTTGAGTTCTCAAACACGTAGAGGACAGAAATCTCTACCTCAAGGTAGAGAAGTGATGAAATATAAATAACTTTACAGATTCTATTTCCTTTCTCCGTGCCTGAAAATCACTTTTAAATCGAATACCAACTTTTTCCTGACTGTGCAGGAACGCTCCGGAATTTCCTTTGAGCTACCAAGTTTGACGTTACGGTAAAGCACTCCATTGATGAATCCGTAATACTGTTTTAGAAAGAATCCACTCAAGACCAGATACTCAAAAACTGCACAGATGTCAAAACGCTCAAAATTTCAATAAATCATCCATTACCAAAAGGTCATGAGGAGAAACGACATGATTGATGGGCATGGACCATGCGTGCATGGCTAAGCAACAGAAGCAGAATAATGCTGAGTGAAAGGTCAAAGTCAGGCCACTCAAACTTGTGGGAACTGCGTATCAAGAAGAAAAAGAAATGTACTGCACTCCCACACAAAATAACAGCAGCCTTATAAGCAAACATGGGTTGAGCACCTCAGTGCAGAAGAATGAATCGAGATCAAATTCAGTCTGCTTACGTTACATACGTGCATAGAGACAACATGTCAAAGCTTACCTCTGCAGATGGGCCGGTCATCACTCCAGCCCACATAGCTGTCTGTCACTCGGAGGCAGCTGATGCTCTTTGAGCCTTGCAGTTCGTAACCCTCATCGCAGGAAAAGTGCACTGTAGCTCCTCGCCTGCAGTCAGAGAAAGCGCAGAAAATAAATTAGCTAAAATGTTGGAGAACCAGGAAAACGTATTTACTGATGATAAAAAAAAAAAAAAAAGCATGTATATTTTCTTAGCCCTACTGGGTGTGATTTGCAAAAATGACACAAATACCGGATACAGATGACACCCATTTGTCTGCGTTACAGGTGACCACTGATGCAGACAACAGCTTTGACAGGAAACAAGACTCCATAGCCCTTATGGTGATATCACCGTCTCCTGGAGGCAGGCTATTGCTGCGCTGTGGCTAAAATAGGAGGGGACCTGTATCTGCTTAAGCTTACACATTTGTCTCATTTGGTTTGCTTCGCATCAGGAAATGTGTCGCACTGGAGCACGTTTTAAAAATAAACACCAGGAGGTTGCAGAGCCAGATAAGCTATCAGAAGAAATGCTGTTTCTTTGTTGTTTCAGCCATATTAATCTAAATGAAAGGTAAAACTGAATTATCCGATGTTCTTAGTGTTCCTCTTGTTTACCTGAAGTCAGAGCCTTTTCTTTTCCCCCGATCTGGAATCCCAGGATCTGGACACATGTTGTGTCCTTGAGCTACACCCATTTGGGACACTATTGACAGAGAACAAACAAAAAAAAAGTATAGATTGTTCAGCAGGTCAAGGACAAAATATTTATTTTCTGAAAATGCTGTGCCAAATGTTACAAAAACAACATACTGCAGAATGCATGGCTAGCTTTTACACTAAATGCTTAACAACTAAAAAGACTATTCTCCATAGGGTAAATAAAGTTGAATAAATGTCCATTTTACTTTGCCACTGCTTGATATTATGGTTTACATTTTAGAATTCAAGTCTTTATACGTGCATCTTCTGTTTTATTTGTACAATATGTTTTTCTTTTCTTTTGTCAGTTTAGCTTCACTTTTTTGTGATTAAAATTTAGAAGTTTCTTTATTTAATTATTTAAAAAAAAATGGGAAAGAAATCAAATCAAGCAGCTCGATAACCGCTGATCTATCTACAGACAAGTTGTGTTCACAACACTATTTTTGAGCAAAAGAAAAAAGAAAAATGTTTTTTTCAACCACAAAATCTCCGTAAATCTCTGTTTAATCATGTCATTGAGTGCAAAACAGTGAAGTTTCAGTGTCAAGAGGGGTCAGGTAAACTTGGCAAAGTGGGTAAGCCCTTACTGACTGCCAGGGGTCAGAGTTCTACAGGGTCCAATCAATGGGACACCTGCTCTCTGGCCCGAGTCGCAGACTAATGCGAGACTGCTATAAATTCAAAACAAGGCTCGACAGTGTCAGCAGAGCTTCCAGGTGCTAAAATATGCAATAAATTCTGAATAAATAAAGCTGGGAGAAAGCTGGTTATTCAATTTACCTCAAGCTTTAAAGGGGAAAAAAAAAATCACATTTTGAGCAATTTTTAAAAGAACATAATTGCAACCAATTACAGCATATTTAAAGAGAAAAACGATAAATGAAGCTTGAAGGCTGGATTTATAGATATACAAGATCTCGATAGATCTAGCTGCAGATGTACAAAAGGTGTCGTGCCTTTGGTAATGTCCTTTTTGGTGCAATTATGTGACTGCTTTTGTTTAATTTTCACAGAATGGCATCACTAAATTACTGAATCTTGTATGTGTTTTTGTTTAATTGGAATCGATGAATTAGGGTTTTTTTTTTTTTATGAATCAAAGTTGGCCACCAAACTTTGTGCTGCACAATTTGCAGCCAAAAGCAGTATTATTTAGACAAAAAAAAATCAATGCAAAAGTGCTCCCAGGAGCAGTAATATTTGCACACCTGTCTTCTCACTCACTCACACACACACACACACACACACACACTTGAGTGACATCCCAGTTTTAATCCAAAGGCTTTAATATGATTTCAGCCTACCCCTTTGCTGCTATACCAGCTTCAGCGTTTCCTGGAAGGCTTTTCATAAGGTTTAGGATTATGTTTATTGGATTTTTTCCACCCCCCCGTTTTTTTCAGGAGCACATTTTTGAGGTCACACACTGATGTCAAACGAGAAGGCTTGGCTTCCAGGCTTCGATTCATCCCAAACGTTTGGTCCGTCTGGCTGAGGTCAGTCGTGTTCCTCCACACCAGACTTGTTCATCCTCGCCTTCGTGGCCCATCGCTTTGTGAACTGGTGTGCAGTCATGTTGAAACAGGAGGGCTCCATCCTCAAGACATATATTCAATGTTGAGAATATGAAAGCGACAAATACCTACAGAAGCAGTCTCCATGTTTGAGGGTTTGACTGAATATGTCTGTCGCCACGGATACGACTGAATACCCCTGAATTCAATGATTTTGGTCAGACCCAATACCTTTTGGAAATGTAGCATGTATGAAAAAACCCAAATGACTATCATTGAAACTTTTAAGTGACATCATTACTTTACAGAAGGAAGCACCCGTTAGTGCTACCTGTAACAAAACTACCACTTCTTTACATGTAATCGTCATATTCTTCACTAAGGCTACCACTGTACTGATTCACCCAGTTTATCCACTAAAGAACTGGATCACAATTTAAAGAGCCTTGGCTTTGAGTAGCTAAGGATGATCAAACTAGAGTCTTCTATTTGATATAGATATCCTTTTTTTTCTTTCTTATCTGAGTCAATGAGGATATCTGGAATGCCTCATCAGGTATAATTAAGTTTATATGAGGGAAGCTAAGTGTCATTAAATCACACACTGTTATTTGGGATCTGCTCTGATTTGGCCTGTTCCTTCTACACCTCTTGGCCCATTATTGTAATGAGCTGCTTGCACCTGTGTTTGAAGATTAGCACAGATTTGGGGTTTCACCTGTACGACTGGATTCTCCCACAGGTACTAATTATGATTCGCAAACAGTCACAAATTTACATGTCTCTGCAAATTTATCCCGTGAAAACAACAACAAAAAAAGTGTCATTTATTGGCAAAAAATGTCTCATGCATTGTAAACTGGTATATAAGGTGATAAAATATACAAACAGTAGAAATAAAACAAAAAACATCTAAATTTTACAGTAGCAACTGGAGAGAATAAAAATCAACACAATAAAAGGAGCTTTCTAGACAGAAGTGTAAATAGAGCAGTTTTCTACTATTTTCAGTCTTCAGCTTGCAACTTTGCGTAGTTCTGGATGACTTAATCCTCTCAGTACGTTATTGTTTACATGTTTAGCTATTGCTGAATGAGATTAATGCTAAGCTGAGAGGACAAGGAAGGTTTAAAAATAGCAACGGAGGCAATTACTGCTGTCTTTTCACAGGTACAAGAGTGTGTTTAAAGACTAGACATCACTGTTTTTAACTGGCTTTGATGCTTAATGGGTACTTTAAAAGAACAAGGAGCAGAGACAAGAACCTTTGACTTGGTAGTGAGCAAGTTTCAGGCAGTTGAATCTATTTTAAAAGTAATAAAATATTTTCCGATTTTAATACTTCCTTAGCAACTTATATTCAACATATCAACTGAATCCAACATTTGACAAGTTCTGTAAAAGATTAGTCTTTTTGCCCTCCAGCGTTGTATGCCTGAGCGAAATTTCCGTACGTCCAATAACATGCATGGTGTCTAAGTCTTAAGTCAGTGCCTCACCAGCAGTGAACCTCCCCGCACGACACAGATATATATATATATATATATATATATATATATATATATATATATATATATACCCTACCCTAACCCTATGTGTTTAGAACAGCTGACAAATACAGAGGTCTTAAGTTAAACCTTTGAAACTAAAACATAATTTAAAGCATCAAATAATGGATCTGCAGCACAGTTAAAAACAGGCAGTTCTGGTAATATTTAGGCATATCATGTTAAAGCCAGGCTCTATTTTCCACATTATGATTAAAAAGTGCTAATCATTTTTCCCATAGTGCAATATGTAAAACTGAATTATTCACTTGTCACAAGCCATGTTGATTTGTGTTTTTTTTCAAAAGGCACGTTTTGTTCGGGGAGGTGCACATGTGCAGTCAAACTCTGGTGCAGATCAGTGAAGCAAACTATGATTGGTCTAAAAACAGGTTTCAATTCATTTGGATGAAGTGGACCATGACATGAGGCATTGTGAGTAAAAACAACCCAACCAAAGATCTGGGTAGCAAGGTTGCCTTCAGAAAGAGCTCACATTCACATGGATTGAGGATAACGGTGACAGAAATACAGTCAGATGAAATTATTTCAAAACTGCTGATATTTCAGCAATACAAAAAGTAAGAATTATAACTTACACACTGATATCTTGTGGTGGTTGTCTTTGCTTGGCAACATCTTCACACCTCTGGATTTGAGTTCAGTCATCTTTTTCACTGTTGACAGCACAGACACAAAGGACAAAAAAAGAAGAGTTTTTATAATGACATCAGTATAGTCAACTAGGAGCTTAATGACTGCAGCACATAACTTCCATGCTGCTGATTATAGCACTACCCACTGAGTTATGTTTACATCGATTTGGGGAAAGTAATTTATTAAGCAGCTAAGCAGCTGGATCATTGTCAAAATGTGCAGAATAGTAAAAAGGTTTATGTTTAGAATGATGGTGTTATTTATTTTGACTTATAAAAAGAAAGATTTTACACTTAGGAATAAAGCTCAACAATGTGAAATGTCTTCATTCCTGTGGAGTCCTTGAGGAAAACATTTTTATTCAGAGAAAATGATTAATGAAGGAAATATACAAACAAAAGATGCAGTTTAAGTAGTGGAGCCTTGTGATAGCAGCAGTGAGAATGAAAGCTAAGTCATAATGGTAGAATAAAAAGCTAATATTTGTTCCTCAGTTTTTTAAAAAAAAAAATATATATATATATCTTCAGCATTATCAAAGACCCAAATAAACTGTTTTGTCTCTTTGTGACATTTTTTGAAATGGCATCCTTTGCTCTGTTTTAGCTGGGGTTTTTGTCTCTCAAAGATATCTGAGGCACATGTCAAAAAGTCTGTTTAAGATGGTTGTGATAAAAGAAAAACAATTAAAAAGATGTGCTCTCTCAACTAAACAAAAAATGAAAACGGCTCGTTCCTGTAATTTGGCGTCTAAACTGACAACTACTTCAGGTTCTAAAGCAACATGCCAGCTTTCTGACATAATGTTTGACACATAAAAATGAATCTTGTGATCAAGCTGATTTTGGTGTTCAGATGATGAACGGATTTTAAGAACAAGGCAGTTCGAAACGCTTTTCATGATAAAAATATAACCGCTTATAAATCATTGAATGGCTGAATCCTGTTTTTTATTCTTCTTTCTGAACACACCACGGGTAAATTAAAAGGATCTTCTCTCAGTTCTCTGTTAGAATCTGATCTTGTTAAAATCTTGGTCAACATTTGTCAAACAGTGAACAATTGAATAAACTTGTATTTTACATTCCAGGCATTTCTCCTTTTTTACTTTGTAATTTTCACAGTACTCCCCCCGCTTCCAATTATCTCGCCGGTGGATGGCTGGAGGTAAAATCCTCACATATGACCATTTTTGTAGAAGATCTAATCCTTTTTCAGAGCTCATCCCCTCTTAGAGGTGCCCCCTGCCATGCTAACAGTTATGAGGAAGAAAATGGATGCCTGTTGCAAAAAAAGCAAAAAAAAAAAAAAAAAAAAAAAAAGGGGTTTAGCGGGTGTGTGTTTTTGTGCACGTGTCGTTTCTGCGTGTGTGCGTGTTTGCACAAAAGTAATTGGCTCAGAAGTAAGGACCTTGCAATCTTTGCAATGTTGAGAGTCCTCTGCCAATACAGAAAGAATACAGTATTCCTTCTTCTACCTAAAAGTGTTCAGAATTGGTAAAACAGCAACAGTTTAAAGTGAACGAGAAAACCATGTTACAGAATTACCCAACAAAGTTGTTACTGACCTTAGTTATGATATTTGTAGATTTACAATAAATGAATACGTTTTTTTTTTTTTTTTTTAGCTACTAATGAAAATGTGAAACATTTTTACTGTTAACCCTTTTGATAAATATGCACTAAACCAGAAATAAGGTCATAATAAAGGTCATAAATTCTGACAACTTGAGTCAGAATTAATATTTTTGGGTTTTTACAAAAATTGGAAATCAGAAGCTGCCAAGAAAGCGACATTTTGTGCATCTATGTATGATATTAAAAAGGTCATAACAAAAGTGAACATACCATGTACAGTTAGCAATGTCTATAATACTTTTGATGTTCTATTAATTCATCTCTTGATCTTACCCTGGTACTGGGCGCTGAAACCTCTCAACCTGTGGTTGCCATCTGACGTAAAGTGAAGTCGAAGCCAGTTCTTGCTGCTAATGATGGGCGAAGGAAGGTTGGGACCAGTAAACCTGCAAAAGGGAGAGACGTACAAAATCATCAAGAAGTCTGTAAAGCAACGTTTATCAGAATAGGTTACAGCTACACCAACATTACAGTTATCCTGTTTCTACATAAATTAAATGCAAAATCGAAGATATGGATCAGAGTCCCCTGTGCGTCTATCAATACAGCCTACCTGAGATCAGACAGTCTGACAAATCTAGTAAGCTTCTCTTGTTCAATATTTTATGTCTTATTTTCTATTCAATCCTCCACTATTTGACACTGGGGATGCTTGTGCTTTGCTTTAGTGGCATATGGCAGTTATGTAATCCATTATGTTTTGCATAAAATCAAGCCTAATAACACCCAATATCTCATGGCACTTGGCAGAAACTGCTGGTTTTCCCAAGTGACTGCCTTGTTTGTTTTTCTTAATTATACAAAAACTCGAAAACTAATGCGTCCACAACTTGAGAGGTGGTAATGGGGTACTCCTAGAACAGCTATCAAAGTGGATGTTTTGGTGCTTAAGAGGACATGTAACATTAACAACTTTGAATCAAGTTATGATCCCAACATTAAAAAAGAACTAAGGCAAACCAGTACTGACTTTTGATGAAAAAAACTATTTATTTTATTGCGTTGGAGAAGCAATGGCGAATTATACACTTAAACTGCCTCTTGATCTGTATTTTAATGAGGCATGTTGCTCACCATGCCCTTGTTCTGTTGTTAGAGCCAAAGTCATTTGGAGACGCATCATGTTTTATCTTGAGACGCACAAAAACAAGCATGCAACCACACTCAAACATCCACAGAAAAACACAGACGTGTATTTGAATGTGATTGTGAATTCCCTAGGTGCAAATTGCATTTTCCTGACATCATTGACCTTATTTAACTATTCATATGTACTATTAGAGAGGACATATTGTAATTAACATTCTTTGGACTGTATTATTTGCTCACACTAGTAGGTGCCCATGTTATTTGGCATTGTGACCAAGGTTATATTGAATATGTACAGTATAAGAAGTTTGTTTTCTCATTGCTGCCAGAATTATAACCAAGGGAAAAATATGCAACACTTAAGATTGTTGAAATAACTGACTCTTCATGTACATGTGTTCAGTTTCTTAAACAGAAATGTAACGACTGGCTTTTCTCAAAACAGATTTTACATCAAAAAGTTACAGATGGCCCCAGGTAAAAACAACAAAAAAAGAAAACAACACAGGTAGGAATCATTTTATTCTACTCATATGCAATTAAATATTTTCATACTAGGAGTGTTTTATGTTTCAAACATGCTGGAAATAAATTGTTCCATCATTTTCAAAATGTATGTATTCTTTCTTATTAGTAATTTCAAGGTGAAAAAGAGTTAAGGACAACCAAGAGTGTCCTCAAAGCAACAGGCATGTCTCCTCTTGAGGAGTGAACTATAGGAGTTGCTATAACCACTGTAGAGGTTATTAAAGGAAATTAGAGGTTATTAAATATTGGCAGCACTGTGTATCTGCTCACAGTGAAGACTTCTAAATGAAGGACTTGTTACAAAAAGTGCAAGAACACAGCTTCTGTTCAATAAAGACATCAAGGACGAACTGTACTTATGCAGGGTGTACAGAACTTCAATTTTACTACAGGATGCGTCATCTTTCTGATTACAATTTTTACCACAGAATAAAAGTCCAGTGCTACTATGAGTTCCTGTGTCGTGTTCACAGTGAGACATCCAAATACAAACTATGTGCAGTTGGTTTTTATTCAAGGAATCGTGTTTGCTCAATACATTGCAAAAACAAAATGCTCTTATTTTTATGTAAAGCATAACCGTGCCACAGTGTGGCGTGAGAAGGAAAACTTTTGGGTTCATACTAAATGTTCAAAGTAGTAGTTGTCTTTTATATTCATTTCAGTACACACCAGATGAAATGCTAACAACAGTGTAAAACATGAACTGAGCCTTCATTTGCAAATGCAAGAGTATGACTTTAAGAGTTACTTTAAAAACACAACATTCAGTCCGTTACGATATCAGGTTTCCGAGCTTGATATTTATTTCTCGATTATTAATAAGCCTCTCATGAACACAGCGGTGGTTGAGTAGCTAATTTAAACCCCTGCTCTGCTCGTCAGTCGGTCTTTGAGTCGCCTTTTTTTTTTCTTTTCTTTTTGTTAATGGAACCAAAACGCACAGAACTGCGCAACACCTTGTTGAAACAATAATTACTGAGATTATTAATTTTAACACGATTTTTTTTTATAGTTATTTCTTTTTTTAATGAAGCTACAAACGTTTAGGATCTTAGTGAATATTTTTTATAAGCCCGTCAGAAGAGGAAGTGCTGGTCTCAGCGTCCTGGCGGCGATCAGTTTGTCACCTGCTGAGATCGACTCAAAATCTTTCTGCGATCGACATATTGGGCACCCCTGGTGAAGGTTATGTGGTGCACTCAAGCTTTGGGACCCAAGTGTTACGCTTGCCACTGAGCTAGAGAAGAAAATTCCTCTGATGTAGTTTGTTTGTCATGATTCTTATGAACTTTAAAAACTCACCAAAAAGATTTAAGAAGTCAGTTTAATTCTTTGCTCAGGGCCATCCACCAATTAGCATTCAGTCTCCAAGGTAATTAACTGCTCCACTGTTCGATTGGAGGTAGTAGGAAAAAAATAAACAAGCAGAGTAGTTGTTTATTTCAAGAAAGGCCTAAGCTGTGTATATAGCTCTAACCATCTTTACTCTGCCAGCTGTGATGTCCCTCAAAAGTTGCTAATGGACTTTTTTCCTCCACACCAAACTGTCTGCTATTCTACATTATTGAAGTATATCCTTATCTCAATCGGGGGGGAAAAAAAAACATCTGCTGTCATTTGTGCCCAAAATAACCAAGAGAAGTGGATGCAAATGCATAGGCAGCCAATCACAGACTGACTAAACTGCACAAGCACCAATGAATTTCCCATTTAATTTGACATAAATTAACTTCCAACTCATTGGAAGGATTTTAGACAAACCACCCACATCCTATTTAGCAAACTTTATGGATGTAAGTGTCAATTTCCTAGTTTATATTATGCGTTTCATGTCTGCTATTCTCCATTCAAAGTCTCGGAGGTCAAATTATTCTATGCATAATCAGCAAAGGGCAGAGTTGAAGAGCCAAAGATCATCAGCTCCAAATCAAGATCAAAGTTTTTTGTTTATTTTTAATAGTTTCATTTTGATATACCATGTGACGAAGAAGCATAGATTTGTGTGTGGGTGTTTTGCATGGGCTTAAAAGAAAGGGAGGCAGTTTCTTTGTAAAGAACAATCCCAATAATTGCTCTCACTTAGAGAGATCAATCAGAGCTCTGCTCAGTATGCAGAAACTGATGCTTGCAGCAGACCTCAGGGTCACAGTGACTTTAAAAAGCCAAAACTTTCGGCATTTTAATGAGATTATATGAATTACCGCATGCGCTAGGCGAACATGTAAACGAAAACGTTCAAACCAGCACACCTATAGCAACCGTTAGCGTAATAAAAGACCCTTTGCTTTTTACTCTTCCTTTAAACCATTTTGCCCTAAGAGAACATTGCTTCTTTATGAGGCAAAGTGAATCACGGTGGGAGACTTTTAAGCCCAGAATGGCAATATTAAGGAAATGGACAAGTTGCTGTGACCTTCAGATGTAACTGTAGCCACAAAAAAAAGCACAAAGGGATTTAAATAAACCACTTCTGCAACAAACGTAAAACCCAAATCATTATTACTTAAAAAAAAAAAAACTGATCCAAGTGATCAATGAAAGCCTTCACTCACTCGAGAGGATGAGGCCAAAATATAACAAGAGGCCTTGAGGGCAATTATGTCTCATGAGTTGCTTTTTTTTTTTTTTTTTTTTCCTTGAAGGAAAGGGCAGAGAGAAAAAAAAAAAAAAAGTTACAGACCCATCAGAGCCAACATGTCTACTCCAAGCATACACTCCCTGGTTCGACAGAGCCAATATGTCTCTTCTTCCTCCTCTTTCACTTCTCATGCGTTATTCATGGGCAGACCTTTGGCCTCATCAGAAGAAGTTGTTAAATCTTCTGAGAGATTCTTTTCTTCCTCTTCCCACAAAACATATTCTGACCTCAAAGAACATATAATAGGACACTGATTAAAGGATATTTCCTTTTGGGAAGAACACTCTTCGTCTTTTCTCCCATTCTTGTACTCCATTTAAAAAAAAATAAAAAATTCTTGCTTTTTTTGTTATTTTTCATCGCTCTCTAAACGGCTCCCTGCGGTCACAACAATTTATCAGTGGAAAAGCAGCGATCTAAAAACCGCGAGCTCCGTTCCCAGGGTTTGAGATAACCTCGGATGTAAAAAGCCTGATTGATCAAGCATCCTTAAGTCCACAACCAGTTGTTTTATATTCAGCACTTGGGATACATATTTAAAGACAGCAACAACATGAGGGGAAAAGTGCTTTGATCAAGCGTTTACTCTGTCAAATAGCTTGGAGCACATATGGAAATAAAAAAAGTAAGCTTGAAAGCTACTGTGGATGTTTTATTTTCTAGGTTAATTCATAGTCAGTGTTATGGATATTAGAACTCAAAGACTGAGTTCTAATTCAGATATTTTAAGGAAATGCTGTTGCCTTGGATGAAATTTCACTTTTTAAATTTAATTCATTTTCTTTTCCCTTCATTGGAAATAAAAAAAAAAGACACATTTTCTGTTAAGTGGTAAAGTGTGTTAATTCAAGATCAGTCAAGGCTGACTATACTAGAATAATACAAAGTTACTATCCAAAAAGCTATTTCATTCTTCACTTTTACTAAATAAATTTTACCTTATGCCAGAAAACCTACATGATCCCTTGTGGGAATGATATACCTACTCAAGAAAAATCATATTTTGGGGGTTTATTTGCTTTTTTAGGTTTCAGGGGAAAAAAGGATCAAAACTGTACAAGAAATAAACATTATTAATGGTCTATTTATTTGTTTCAATACTTGGAAAGAAAAACACTGAAACTAAATGAATAAATACATTTATTATAACTACATAA